AGATACAAATAGTATTAATATGAAGCATAATTCATAATTGTTGTGTTCAGCTTCATTAGTGTAACAACTACATAGATAAGGATGTGACTTAGAATTTTCCATACTGTGAAAAGAGGTTTCAGGGTGATTCTAGTTATATTTGAGAGGGTTTTTCTCTCACTGTACTGAATTATGTATACAGTATCCCTGTTATATATTATATATATTTATAATTATGTTAAGATTCTTTCACAGTTTCTATATATATTAGTGGAAATATCTGTTATTTAGCTCAATTTAATATTGAGTCCAATATCTGCTCATGCCCCAGCTTGGAAGCAGTGTCATAACAAATAGTTTTTTATTTCAGTTCATATTGTGTCCTTTTGTTTATTTTCAATATTTAGCCTGATTCAAGATGTATAATAAGCAGGAAAATGCCTGGAAAGAAACAAATAGATATGGTAAAATTTAAAAATAGATTTTTGCAGATTATCAAAGAGATGTTATTCAAAAACTTTGGAAGATGCTTTGTAGAAATTCTTATTACCATGAGAAATTGGAGATTAACCCAACTTGTATAGAAGGCATTATAGTTCAGCTAATTGGAAGAATGAAGACATAGATTATTTGCATTTATTTTATTTATTAAATTTATATGCCACCCATCTCACTATCCAAAGTGACTGGGTGGGTTGCAATAAAATCATAAATATTAAAATATTAAAATTAACAACATGAGGTATAAAACTAGAAAACTAAGAGCGTGAATGATGCAGTGATTTGGTTTGGTAGAAAAATGAAACCATTTAGACATATAACATCAAAATTCATAATAAACAGTTTTTCTCACATTATGGAAAATAACCAAGGTAATTATGCTATTCAAATTCTGTGTTTTTAGTCCAGTTTATTTTAAACACATGCTCACAATATTTCCACTGAAGTTAATGGGACATCTTGAGACCACGCCCAAATCATTAAATTTGTATTTTAGATAACAAAAGGAATAAATGTTAAAGATAAAGAAACAAAAACAATAATTAACTTTCTCTATGTATGAGTTTATAGGGCCGTTGCACAGAGGCAGCAAGGCTGGATTCAAGGGCAATTAACACTCAAGATGGTAATTATTTTAATCATTTTCTCAATTTCATTCTAGAAACAGGTGATAGGTTAACTTTTGCACAATCAAATTCAGTATATTATAATTTTTGGAACTATTTTCTAGGTTTAAAACCGGATTGTACACGTAGTTTGCCAAAGCTTTTCCTGACCTGGAATTGTTTGAACTTTTCAAGGGTATTTTGTTCTACAGTTTGAAACTATGTTGATAAATTACCAAGATAATGAATAATTTCAAATGCATTTATACAGACCTGAGAATATCATTACAATTTATGGCTTAGTAATCAGGATATTTGTTAAATAACTTGAAGCAGATTTTACAGGCACTTCCTAATTGGCACAATGCAACTTGAGTGAATCAACTGTGTTTCCTGTTTCATTTTTTTTCTTGTTTTTAATTAAAACCAAATTTAGCCAAAATCTACAGGCATCATGAACTGATTTCTGCAGGTTTCATATTATAAACCTTTGGTGTTTATAGTAGAATCAAAGGGGGGGGGGGGAGAAAGGAATAGAAAAAAGATAAAAAGAATTATAAGTATTAAAATTAGTTCAAAAATTGTTATGCTTTTAGACATATTCTTTAAAGGATTATATACATGCCTATGTGTGTGTGTGTGCATTACACAATTTTTGATAAATAATAATTTTAAAATATTTAAATATAAATAGGACAATAATTTCAACATACACATTTTCAAAGGGCCCCTAGGCCTGTTCTTAGAAGCTGTTCATAATTATTTAATTATGATCTACATCTTTTTGGTCACTAAATAAAGCTACATGGGAAATGACACCTAGATGCAAGCCTGAAAAACAAGGACCACAGGTAAGACAATACTTTATAGATGGATGTGTGGATCATAGTTTGTTATCTTGTGGTGGAGAAACTTAAGAAGATACTAACAGACAGTATTTAATGATCATGTTATGAAAGCTAGGAAGTTACAATAAGACAATGGTCTCCTGTGACTAAAAGCAAAATCACCAGAGATTTATCAACTGACTTTTATATATGGTTACAGTGATTGAAGATTACATACACAGCTGACCATCTATGGCTATGGTGGCGAACCTATGGCACACATGCCACAGGTGGCACGCAGAGCCCTCCCTGTGGGCACACACGCCATCGCCCCAGTCCTAGGCCTTCAGCTGGGTTTTATAAAACCTTTTTGCTTTAGGCCTCCGCCGCCGTGTGCAAAAAAAAAAGGTTCAATCAATCAATCAATTTCAACTTCTCACGGGGGAAAAAAAGATCTCGCAAAGTTGGAATTGATTGATTGAACTTTTTAGTCCCACCCAGTCTGCCGTTACCACCGCAGCCATGCTCACCCAATGGGCCATGTCCACCCGGCACCCAACGATACATAAGTGGGTTTTGGGTTGCAGTTTGGGCACTCAGTCTCTAAAAGGTTCGCCATCACTGATCTGTGGAGATTCTCAGTCATCCATGTCATGGTTGTCCCAAAGATGCTTTTTCAAGAGGCAACTGGAGTTACTTATTTTTCTTTGAAGACATTTCGCTTCTCATCCAAGAAGCTTCTTCGACGCTGACTGGATTTTTCTATTCCCCACCATTCAGTCAGAGTTGAAGAAGCTTCTTGGATGAGAAGTGAAAAGTCTTCAAAGAAAAAAAAGAAAGTCCAGTTGCCTCTTTGAAAAAGCACCTTTGGGATACATAGCTGATAATTGAAAAAGGATTGTTTTACAAGGAATACAAACAGGGGTTCAAAGAAATATGGACACCCCTGTTATCTAGACAGAGGGCACTTAGCCTTTGAGAAGTACGTATGTCAATCAAAATTATTACTATTCTATTTTTTTAATATATTTTTTATTTTTCAAACAAACAAAATACACAATACACAATAGATTTTCCTTTTTCCTTAGCAATACTATGTCTTATATCTCTTACATTTATTAACAATTATTTACATTACTTCTCTTACTTTTTTATTCCTTAATTCTAACCAGCTATAATACATGTCCCATACGTGAAATTCAGTAATTTCTTTGTCTTTCATTTCTAGAGTTAGTTTGTTCATTTCTGCACAGTCTAGAATCTTTCCTATAATCTTTGCACTTGTTGGTATGTTTTCATTTTTCCAGTGTTGCGCATATGTAACACGTGCCGCCGTTATAATATGTATAATGATGTATTGGAGAGGTTTTTCAATTTTTGGATTAATTATACCTAGTAAAAATATTTCAGGCTTGAATTCAATTTGTTTTCTTGTTATTTCCAATATCCATCTTCTTATTTGCTCCCAGTAAATTTTTGCTTTGGGGCATTGCCACCACATATGGTAAAATGTTCCCTCATTGTTTTTACATTTCCAGCAATCTGGATTCATATTTTTATAAATTTTGGCCAATCTCGCCGGGGCTAGATGCCATCTGTAAAACATTTTAATTTGGTTTTCTTTATACGCAGTTGACAACGTTAATTTGCAATTTACATTCCAAATTCTTTCCCATTCATCTAGTCCTATATTTCTACCTATATTTCGGGCCCAAAATTATTATTACTATTCTAACCGTTCTAATCCTGGATCCCACTTTGAACAGGAAGAGCCAGTAAACATCACCCTTGAACATCAGTATCCTTTAAAATGTTGTTGTTTATGGAGACATATAGTTTAATTGATGTAGAAATATTATAATTGCAGGAAGATGCATCTCTTGAAGGAGTAGTCAGGTCATGTCTGTGGGGAAAATAGTTTAGCAATTAAGCTGTTGTGCTAGATTCCTTGACTTTTACGTTAAACAAGCAAGCAACAGCAGAAATATTCAGAATATGTCAAAGGCATACAGAGCAATAAAAAATAAAACAAGGCTAATCAATAATATTTTATTAATAACTAGCTGTACCCGGCCACGCGTTGCTGTGGCTCAGTCTGGTTAAATGGAAAAGAAAGAAAAGAGAAAGCGCACGTTTGTAATATGTTTAATTTCACAATGCTAGCGTGTGTTGCTTTTACGTCCAACAGATGGCGCTGTTTTTCAAAAAAAGCATGTTTTTACCTGTCACAGGTGTGACATCTATATAATAGTAGGTATATAAAAACACGCGCATATTCAAATGCAACGTTGTGTCAAATTTTCAAAGCAATCGGTGAAGAACTTGCGGAGATTTAAGATTTTGAACAAACGAACATTTACATTATTATTTAGATAGATAATAATACACTGTGAAAAATATCATTCAGGAGAGATGTTTTGAAATAGTATTGAAATAACTAAATACCCTTAAGAGAAAATCTTTCAGGCCCAGGAGTTCCACAAATGTCCTTAACTGAGAATGCCTCATACTGAAATTCCCCCAATCACATCCTAGTAGTAGCAGATTGTTGTACGGGATATTTGAAGATGATTAAAATGAACACTTTCAAGGTTAAAACATGTTGTTATTTTGAACTGTGCAGATCCAATGACTTCTCCATTTCTACCGTGTTAGTTACACTTACCAAACTAACTTAAACAAAATATTCCCTTTGGTGTAATCAGTTGTGCTATAGTTACCAGTTTAGTCAAAGTGAAATCCTTAATAATTAATTTTTCCTTACTATAGTTTGCAGCCTTTTGTTTCATTTAACACACTTTTTTTTTTCTTTTCAATGCAGGTAGCTTCATTAGCTCCCCGGCTGCTAAAGATAAGAGCTCTTGAGCAAGGTGATATTTTTGTGAGTATTAAAAATGTAGAAACTGGTTGAACTAGAAAACATATACAATTTTTTTTAAAATGCTGCAGATGTATAAAAAAAACCCCATTTTTTAAAAAGAATTATATTACACGCATATAGTTAGAAATTAGCATCCAGCTCCAAAAAGTTGTTGTAAAAAATAAAAATTTGAGTAGGGCTTCTGCTATCCTCAAACTTTCTCTACAGAGGATCTAACTGCATGGAGCTGGTTAGAAATAACACTTGGCTGCTTTTCTTTTGGCTTTCCTAAAGGCAAGGGAGACTGTTTTTTATGCCGGCTTTGATAGTTCAGGGTGACCAGCCCATTTAACTATGCTAAAGCTGACTTTGAGGAGTTGGTTGGTTGGGATATATGATGTACCCTGATTATAACTTTCTGAGTGGATCATGTAGTCCTGGGCTTTTCAACCAGTGGTATGGGTACCACCTGTGGTACATTGGCACCTGGCAGGTGGTACGCAACCATCCTAGAAAAGTGGTAGCAGGGGAGGGGAATGAGCTGAACCGGTGGCAGCACCGCACAAGCCTGAGCGAGAGACGGCTGGAGCTGCAGGGCTGTCAGGGCTCAGCGGAAGCGCCAGGATCAGTGCCAGGCTCCAGCTGGAGCTCGGCGCTGATCCTGGCGCTTCCACTGAGCCCAGAAGAAGCGCCGATCAGCTGGAATGTTGCAGCCTCTCCAGGGTCTTATGAATTACATTCAGATGCTTGGCAACTGTTTCATATTTATGACGGTCACAGTGTCCCAGGGTCATGTGAAGTGACCAAAACCTGCTGCAATCACCCAGCAGACGGGGGGAATAAAAACCAAACACCCCCACCCAACCCCTGCTGCCAATCCTCAACAGAAATGTCACAACAGTGGAAACCTCAGACAGGAGGAAGAGCGCCGCTGGGTGGGCAGGCAGGTGTCTTGCTCAGCTGTGGCTTGGGGGGCACTTTTTTCAGTGCCATTGTAACTTCGAATAGTCACTAAGCAAACTGTTGTAAGTCGAGGACTACCTGTACTTTATCACTTTTTTCCTTTTTTTTTTTTTTTGGTCATCAAGTTTTTGACACCTTGCTAGGCGACTGATGGTACTTGGATGTTGCCATATCCTAAAAGTGGTACAATGGGTGAAAAGGTTGAAAAGCCCTGATGTAGTATTTTAAAAGAGCTGTGGTGGCATAGTGGTTAGAATGCAGTACTACAGGCTACTTCTGCTGACTGCCGACTCTCACATATATATTTATATTTGTTGATGCTTTATTGAAACTAAATTTGTATATCAGTGATTACATGGCTGATGCCATACACTAAATAAATGAAAAAAATCTTTCCACTGCAACTTATTTTTAAAATACCTTTTAACAGTGCTTTTTTTGTTAAAAAAAAAAAAAAGGTGCCGGAACTCACACACGTCATACAACCCGCCTTGCCTACGTTACAAGGTTCCATCCCAAAAAGGTGCCGGAACTCCGTTCTGGGCGTTCTATGACAAAAAAAAGCCCTGCCTATTAAACCAGAAAAAGTAAAATAAAGGATTCCTGGGTTTTTTGGTAACTGGATGGTATTCTGAAGTAGAAAGAATGAGATTCAGAGCTGGCTGGCACAACGCTGCCCGAAGTCACTTTGCCTTGAGATGGGCAGCATGTAGATTTAATAAATAAACAAAGTAAAATAAATAAATAATTCTAAACAAAAATGGAAGCAATATTGTTAGCATTAACTCATTCATTTTCTTAAACCATTTATTATTATTACAGGGACTGGCCAATTTAATGGACAAGTCATGTCTTCTTCAACTCAGTTTGGTAAGTCATTCTTTTAGAATAAAAGAAAATACGTCTATCTTACTTTAAAAATAATGTTAAGACTGAAGATCAGCCTTCATTGTCAATTCAGAAACCAATATTCTTTGCGAGAAATGAGAGCATATCAATAAACTGAACATTTAAAAAAGCAAAGGTGCTTTTTCAAAAGGCAGCTGGACTGAAGAAGCTTCTTGGATGAGAAGCGAAATGTCTTCAAAGAAAAACAAAGTCCAGTTGCCTTTTGGAAAAGCTCCTTCGGGACAACCATGACCTGGATGACTGAGCATCTCCATAGACTTTAAAAAAGTTCTGGGCTCTGTTCTGGGCCCAGTGCTCTTCAACATCTTCATCAACGATTTGGACGAGGGTATAGATGGGGAATCATCAAATTTGCAGATGACACCAAGCTGGCAAGAATAGGCAACACTCCAGAAGATAGGCTTAAGATACAGGAGGATCTAGACAGACTTGAACACTGGGCGCTATCTAACCAAATGAAATTCAATGGTGAAAAAAGTAAGGTTCTACATTTAGGCAAGAAAAACCAAATGTACAGGTATAGTATAGGCCCAGGGGTACCTTGCTCAATAGTAGCAACTGTGAGAGGGACCTCAGAGTCCTAGTGGACAATCACTAAAATATGAGCCAGCAGTGTGTTGCAGCTGCCAAAAAAGCCAACACAGGGCTAGGCTGCATTAGCAGAGGGATAGAATCAAGATCACGTGAAATATTAATACCACTTTACAATGCCTTGGTAAGGCCACACGTGGAATACTGCATCCAGTTTTGGTCACCACAATGTAAAAAAGATGTTGAGACTCTAGAAAGAGTACAGAGAAGAGATTAGAGGACTGGAGGCTAAAACATAAGGAACATTTGCTGAAATTGGGTATGTCTAGTTTAACAAAGAGAAGGACAAGGGGGGGACATGATAGCAATGTTCCAATATCTCAGGGGCTGCCACAAAGAAGAGGGAGTCAAGCTATTATCCAAAGCACCTGAAGGCAGGACAAGAAGCAACGGATGGAAACTAATCAAGGAGAGAAGCAACCTAGAACTAAGGAGAAACTTCCTGACAGTTAGAGCAATTAACCAGTGGAACAACCTGCCTCCAGAAGCAGTGAATGCTCCAACACTGGAAGTTTTTAAGAAGAGACTGGACAGCCATTTGTCCGAAATGGTATAGGGTTTCCTGCCTGAGCAGGGGGTTGGACTAAATTCTATTTCTACAGGTGGAATATCATGAAAAAAGATGAAATATTTTCCCCCTCATTTCAGTTTCCCTCCTCCAGTACTGTGTTTGGCTGGTGTCTTTAATAGTTGCCCAGGACCACTTACATGTATCTTAATTTTTTCAGTAAATGATAAAAATATCTAGCACTGTAATTGTCCTTAAAATTGTCAAACTTTTGGTAAAGGTTGGGAAACATTTTACCAATGAGTTGAGTAGCAAGGCTGTCTCAATAAAGCTCATAACAAATTAAATTAGCCAAAGACATTTGTGCCATTGCAGCTACATGTGGTATTGCCTAATGGTGATTATCTTCAGTTGGCCTCAGGAGAGCGGAGTGGATGTGGAGTGATCTGTATAAAAAGAAAAAAGAAAAAAAGTAAGAGACTATTTGATGGCAATGCTCTCTTGCTTGGTTCCTTCAGCTACCTAAAACATTCCCTATCTTTTGTAGCTTTGCAGCTGCCAAAAATGCCAACCCAGTTCTAGGCTGCATTAACAGAGGAATAGAATCAAGATCATGTGAAGTGTTAGTACCACTTTATAATGCCTTGCTAAGGTCTCATTTGAAATATTGCATCCAGTTTTGGTTGACAGCATACAAAAAAGATGCTGAGACTCTAGAAAGAGTGCAGAGAAGAACAACTATGATTAGGGGACTGGAGGCTAAAACATATGAAGAACAGTTGCTGGAATTGGGTATGAAGAGAAGGACTAGGGGTGACATAATATCAGTCTTCCAATATCTAAGGGGCTGCCCCAAAGAAGAAGGGGGTCAACCTATTCTCCAAAGATCTGAAGGCAGGACAAGAAGCAACGGATGGAAACTAAATTGTCAAATTTATGATGCATGGATGGACCTCAACTCCCAGGATTCCCCAATCAGCCAAATTAAAATTGACAAGTTTGAAAAACACAGCTTTAGATGGAAAAGGCAATTAACAGAAAGATAGAATCAAGATCACATGAAGTGTTAATACTACTTTAGAATGCCTTGGTAAGGTCACACTTGGAGTACTGCACCCAGTTTTGGTCACCACGATGTAAAAAAGATGTTGAGACTCTAGAAAGAGTACAGAGAAGAGCAACAAAGATGATCAGGAGACTGGAGGCTAAAACATATAAGGAATGGTTGCTGGAATTGGGCATGTCTAGTTTAATGAAGAGAAGGACGAGGGGGGGACATGATAGCAGTGTTCCGATATCTCAGGGACTGCCACAAAGAAGAGGGAGTCAAGCTATTCTCCAAAGCGCTGAAGGCAGGACAAGAAGCAACGGATGGAAACTCATCAAGGAGAAAAGCAACCTAGAACTAAGGAGAAACTTCCTGACAGAACAATTAATCAGTGGGATGACCTGCTTCCAGAAGTTGTGGATGCTCCAACCCTGGAGGTTTTTAAGAAAAGATTGGACAACCATTTGTCTGAAATAGTATAGGATTTCCTGCTTGACCAGGGGATTGGACTAGAAGACTTCAAAGGTCCCTTCCAACTCTGTTATTCTTTTATTCTGTTTGTACTATTTCTATTACAAAGAGATTTGGAAATCAGACTACACTATACGCATCTGCAATGAGGCTACTCTGCTTGCATTTGTAAAATGAACATTTTACAGTAAAAATAGATTATAGGATAACAGAGCAGTGCTAGTTTTTCTTCTCCACTTGCTAACTTAAAAGTGAACACGGTGTAACAGTCATGGGAATTATTACTATGGAAGCAGCCAGTTCCACTGAGGAAAAGGTTTTTCTTAACCAAATATGTTTTCTGAGGAAAAAACCTAGTTGTTGGCCTTGGTAATATATAAATGCTTATAGAAGTGATGATTTGGTCTTTTTACGCCAGCATACCTTTTGCTAGAGTATAACAATATAATTATTTTTGAATTACATTCTTTTTATGGTAGCTATATTGACTACCAAAACAATGTAGTTGTTGTGAGTAGGTATCTTTTTTCTTGTTTCTTCATTTGACTTTATTTAAATAACATTAAGATGCCATTTAAAAATCCTACATACAGCTGGTTCCCCAGAGCCTAATGAATTTATGGAATTAATGAGCAAGAAATATAACTTAAGAAATTATGTAGGGAATGATATGATTCTGGGGCTTGAAGCTTAAATGCTACAGAATTGTTGTGTTCTGTCTTAATTTTGAATAGTAATTTCAAACAAGGAATACTAGATGAGAGCTTCAGTAGGAGAACACACTTATCTTCATTCCAAATAAAACTTTTTTTTGTGGAGAACTTGTGCTTCAAATTCTAGCCATTGCTACAATTCATTGCAAAATAACAAAACTTGTCAACAGAAAGCAATAAATGTTTAGAATAACTGGTACAGTACTTTCATACATGTGCACAATATATTTGCCATCTAAAATGTATTTTCAGAAACACATAATGATCAAAATCAGTTAAATCAGAATGCTTGCTGCTAAACTGTGTTGGTTCATATCTGAACATTTTCCTACTTTGAAACCAGGAATTGAATGTGGTTTGTTGGTTTGTCTGTCTTCCTGATTAAAAGAAAAGTTTGGGTGGTGTTATTCCCTAATTAATATCAGCCCTAAATAAGTTTTAATTTTAATTGTGAGTTAGAAATAACAGACCTGAAGAATGCATGTCTGATAGTCATTTACTGGACAGTAACATTTCCTCTGATGGTCTCTTCATTTTATGTGAAAATTGGACTATATTGTTCTTTAGATAAATCATCATCTTGATAAAAAATTCTCATATTTGGATAAGCTTACTTCAGTTAAGAAGAGTAAACTTTAAAAACTCTTCTATGATAGGCTAAATTTAAATAAGTGTTGTTTTGGCAAGCCTATATCTGTACCAATTAATACTTTATAATTACCTTGATAACTTTTTTTGAGATCTCCGATTTATTTTATACATAACACAATAGAGTGTAGATTTAAAATATGGATTATTTATCTTGCTTAGAAAAAGAGATTGTTATTATTATTTTCCTGTTTCCACAGATCAGTGAAGGTGCAGAGTGCATATTTATTCCCAAGCGACTATTTCTGGAAGAAGCAACTGCTAAATCCAGGCAGATGGCATTACAGATGTTCAGCAGTTACCCCACAGAGAGTATGATCCAGCAGAGTTACAATACACAGCAAACATGGAACAGATACAAGAGCAAACTTATTAAACAGCACCTTAAATGGCATGCTGAGCAAGCAGGCATCAAAAGTAGTAATGGCTGGTAAATATATTTTATATGCATTGCAAGCCAAGCTTTTGTCCTGATAAGAAAATACTTACAGTATTTGTGAAAATATATGACTATAACTATTAAAAAAAAACATTTTGGCTTCTTTTCTGTATCGTAAAATGCATTTATATTCACTGGTGATTTTATATCCATTTCTGAGACTTTGGTAAAAAATATCTTAAAAGAACATCAACACACAAATACCTAAGAGATGCACATTGGCATAAGATGTACAATTACTAATTTATTTTAGAAACAAGAGGTAGAAATATGTTGTGTGTGTGTTTGTGTGAATGATATATAAAGAGAAATCTCCTGGAGTCCATTGGGATTACAGCAAAGCATTGTAAAACAAACATCATACATACATACATATAGTGGTGGGATCCAAATATGTGAATAACCGTTTTTTTGTGTGGATGCCGCTTCCGGAAGTCCATTCTGAGCCTGGGCAACAAAAAATTAGCTACCAGTTCTGCCAAAGTGGTGCGAACTGGTTGAATCCCACCACTGTATACATACATACATACATACATACATACATACATACATACATACATACATACATACCAATATTTTGTGTACTTCAGGGCAGGATGAAATTTGGGATGGATTTTTTTGCTTATGCTGGTGATAAATGCATCGGGTGCATAGGGAGGGGAAAAAAAACTTCAATCCAAATGCAAAAATGGAGGATGGGATGAGATTTGGGATGGAATTGTATACCTAAATGCCAGGACCCCAGGAAAGGGGAGGCAGGGGGTGGCAGTGATCGTCCAGAATATTTGGGTGGCATGCAGGGGCTTTGGATCCAAGATTGTCAGATATGAGACGCTATTTCTTAAGCTCGGCACTAGGAGAGGTCAGTTAGGGCTGTTGCTATTGTACCAGCCTCCCTGCTACATAGCTTAATAATAATAATAATAATAATAATAATAATAATAAGAAGAAGAAGAAGAAGAAGAAGAAGAAGTAGTAGTAATAGTAGTAGTAGTAGTAGTAGTAGTAGTAGTAGTAGTTGGAAGGGACCTTGGAGGCCATCTAGTCCAACCCCCTGCTCAGGCAGGAAAGCCTATACCATTTCAGACAAATGGCTGTCCAGTCTCTTCTTAAAAACTTCCAGTGTTGGAGCATTCACCGCTTCTGGAGGCAGGTTGTTCCACTGGTTAATTGTTCTAACTGTCAGGAAGTTTCTCCTTAGTTCTAGGTTGCTTCTCTCCTTGATTAGTTTCCACCCGTTGCTTCTTGTCCTGCCTACTTGACTCTGTGGTTGGGCTGGACTTACGGTGTTTGGGCAGTTCAACCTGCTGTCCCTACGTGTGAGATCACAGGCAGCTTAAGGAGTTTATGGCCACCACAGCAGCTATGGGCCTGGCCCAAGTCATGCAGAGCCCAAGTCATAGTAGCAGTAATACACCCAATCTGTTTTTTTCTGTCAGAGCAAATGGCAGACTGTTCTGGAATTGGGGGAGATTTTGATTTCTCCCCTGCCACGGACAGACCATTCACTGCCGTGTTTCCCCGAAAATAAGACCCAGTCTTTGTTTTGCTTCCAAAAGAGGCACCAGGTCTTATTTTTTTTGGGGGGGGGGTCTTTTCCACTCACCCCCACCACTGACAGCCCCACCCAGCTGGCCCGCTTCTTCTGGGGCCGAAGGAGCAGCTTCATTCTGCAGCTGAGAATGGAGTTTCCGGCCTGCATTTCGCAGTCAGAGGCCTTCCAGAAATGCAGGCCGAGCTCCATTCTCAGCTGCAAAATGAAGCTGCTCCTTCCGGCGAGGAAAGAGTCGATCCATGGGAGGCCTGGCTGCAATGGTTAAGCTCCACCCTTGCCCTAGCTTGATTTTTAGGCATGCGCCTCACCCCAAAACTAGGGCTTATTTTTCGGGTAGGGTTTATATTAGGCCTACCCCAGTGATGGCGAACCTTTTAGAGACCGAGTGCCAAACCATAACCCAAACCCACTTATTTATCACAAAGTGCCAGGGCCGCATCAGCATTGTGGTGCCCTCGGGAGGGGGGGAGGGGGGGAGTGGCCCACTGGGTGAGCATGGCTGCAGTTGTCATGGCAGACTGGCCGTGGCTGGGGTGGACATGGCCACCTCGATGTTGCTCATGGGGGGATGCCTGTGGGGGCCGGGCAGGGTTGGGGGAGATCCAGGGGGTCTCTGGCAGGTGGGGCGGTGGGCAGGAGGCCCAGCATAGATGGGGAAGTACGCAATCCTAGCTGGGACTGGGGGGCCATGGCGCCAAGGGGGATCCGGCTTTCCCTGCTCGGGTTGGCCTTTGGCTTGCTGGGTGTGGGCATGCTCTACCACCTCTACTCGAGCTTGCTAGCTGGTCGCTTCACTTCCTTTGTGCTGGGTGGGGCTGCCACTCCGGGTGGCGGCAGCGGCCTAATGGACCTGCGCAAGCTGCTGGTAGTGGCAGCGCGAATGCCCACAGAGAGGGCTCTGAGTGCCGCCTCTGGCATGCGTGCCATAGGTTCGCCACCACTGGCCTACCCCCAAAAATCAAGCTAGGTTAGGTCTTACTTTTGGGGAAACATGGTATCCCAGTCTCAGGGAGTCTGTTGGGGACTGGATGAGGCAAAACGGACTCCAACTCAAACCTCGCAAGGCAGAGTAGCTATGGGTATATGGACCCCCCAGAGACAAGGATTTTCCATCTTGGTTCTACATGTGGTGGCACTGCCCCAAACAGCCCCGGTGCATAATTTGGTGGTCCTCCTGACTCACAACTCCTGCTCAAAGAGCAGGTGGCAATCACAGCTATGAGAGTCTTTGCACATCTTCGTTTTCTAAGCCAGGGATTGTGGGTTCGAGTCCCATCTGGGGTGCCAAAATTCTTGTGGAAAACGAAAGAACTCTTACGAATTCCAGAGGGGTTTAGCAGAGAGGTTCAGAAGCATAATGGAGATAGGCAATTCTGAACAAGGAGGGCGGGATTAGACTTCAGTTTTATACTATCCTTCTTTCAGGAACAAAGGGATTACACATGGTAATACACTGTAATACATTAGGATCGTTTCTCACGGGCATACAATGGTAGGTTTTGCTACATACAAAATATCCATGTGCAATGCGCATTTGGTTAGTCACATATTACTGACACAGAACTTTCCCAGTGAATTTTCCCAGTGATTATGCATTACATCATTATTCTAGCAATTATGCAGACAAATCATTATTCTAGTTATTGTTCATTTTACTACATTAGTTTGGTAAGACTATTGCTTACATTATAATATATATCATGGCTTTGTTTCTCTTTTCCTTTGAAATAAAAATTCATTTAATTTAGAAATTCCACTGATTAATTAAATCGCAAGTAATGCACGTTTGGATGATTATTTCTCTTTCAAAATTATGCAAATATAAGTTATGCTCTGGTTTTATTTTATTTTATTTGTTAAATTTATTCTTTATTATTTTTGTTGTTGTTATTATTATTATTATTATTATTATTATTATTATTATTATTATTATTATTATTGCAGAACTCTCCACCACAGCCCACAATTTGTTCTCTATTGATTATAATTCTGTTATAACCCATACTAAATTGTAAATCTGTTTCCATAATTGATAATACTTCCAGGACACAATAACCGCTGACTAATTATTTCCATCTGGAAAGTTACTATTCATAATTTCCATTCTTTTTTTCCCTTCTTCCAAAATAATAATTTAATAAAAATTCAAACATAAATATAGTTATTGGCAAGGTACCTTTTTTATAATCCCAGTTGAATGCATTTTTATTCAGCCAGTAAATAATCTGCTATTTATTATAAACTTGATGTCTTCTGAATTAATTCCATAATATTGAAAAAAAAAGATTTTGCCAACTGGGGAATGTGTTGTTGTTGTTGTTAGTTGCGAAGTCGTGATCAACCCATCGCGACCCCATGGACACCGTTCCTTCAGGCCTTCCTGTCCTTTACCATCTTCTGGAGTCCATTTAAGCTCACGCCTACTGCTTCAGTGACCCCATCCAGCCACCTCATTCTCTGTCGTCCCCTTCTTCTATTGCCCTCAATCTTTCCCAGTATTAGGCCCTTCTCCAGTGAGTCCTTCCTTCTCATTAGGTGGCCAAAGTACTTGAGTTTCAACTTCAGGATCTGGCCTTCTAAACAGCAGTCAGGGTTGATCTCCTCTAGGACTGACGGGTTTGAACGCCTTGCAATACAAAGGAATCGCAGGAGTCTTCTCCAGCACCATAGTTCAAAGGCCTCAATTCTTTGTCGCTCAGCCTTTCTTATGGTCCAACTTTCACATCCATACATTGCAACTGGGAAAACCATGGCCTTGACTATACGCACTTTTGTGATGACAAGACTGAACATTGACATCTTAGGAATCAGCAAACTAAAATGGACAGGAATGGGTGAATTTAACTCAGATGACCATCAGGTATACTACTGCGGGCAGGAATCCCTCAGAAGAAATGGAGTAGCCTTCATAGTCAATAAAAGAGTAGGAAAAGCAATACTGGGATACAATCCCCAAAATGACAGAATGATCTCAGTTCGAATCCAAGGCAAACCATTCAGTATCACAGTAGTCCAAATCTATGCCCCAACCACTGGTGCTGAACAGGATGAAATTGACCGGTTCTATGAAGCCCTACAGCACCTTATAGAATTAACACCAAAAAATGATGTCCTTATCATCATGGGGGATTGGAATGCTAAAGTAGGAAGCCAAAAGATAAATGGAATAACAGACAAGTTGGGCCTTGGAGTACAAAATGAAGCAGTGCACAGGCTGATAGAATTTTGTCAAGAGAATACGATGGAGAATGTGTTACAAACAGCAAATATATATTTAGTAAATTAAAAAGTTTATCCCATGTATAGTTTGAAAATTAGGAAAACGGGGATATTTTTCTCAAATAATAGAATGCTACTGAATGTTTATATTTTACTGAGGATATCGTCAACTGGAAGCAAATAGGATAGAGTCTGGTAGGCCTGAAAAAAAAATGGAGCTCTTGTATCACATCTGGAGCATTTATCTTACATTCTCATTGATTGTGTCCATATGATTTGGTCAATATTTGACCAAATATTTTTGTTAGGTATTATGGGAAATTTGGATGCCAAAGAAATGAATCTGATGTTGAATCTTATAACAGCTGCAAGATTATTGGTAGCTCAATATTGGAAGAC